ACCTACCCTAGAGAGCCTAGAGTCCCTCCAGCAGCCCCCTGAGCCCCCCAAGGCAGCTAGACCCTCTATAGCTCCTAGCCCGGCCCAAAGGGCAGCTAAGCTACTAGAGAGAGGCTACCTAGGCCGGGCTGCTAGGGCTCTTATTGATCCGACCCCTATAGCACCTAATTCAGTAGAAAATAGGGCTAGGCTGCTAGAAAAGCACCCTATTGGATCAAAAGACCCCTTCCAAGGCAAGACCCGCCCAAGGGCCGGCCAACCAATCACGTCAGAGACTATTATAGCAGCTATAGCCTCTATAGGCAAGGAAAAGGCCCCGGGCCTTAGTGGCTGGACTAGGCCTCTTCTAGACCTAGTAACTAGGAAAGATTCCCCTGTGATAGCTTTCCTAAGGCTGCTAGCTGATATGATTCGCCAAGGCACGGCCCCTGGAGCCCACCTATTATGCGCTAGCCGCCTTATAGGGCTTGAAAAGCCCGATGGAGGGGTTAGACCTATAGCTATAGGAGATCTTATCTATAGGGTAGCTATGAAGGCGATCCTAATGACCTCCTATCGGCCGAATATGCTCTTACCCTTCCAGCTAGGCGTGAATAGCCCAGGCGGGGTTGAACCCGCTATTTTCCTCCTCTATGAGGCTATTATAGGCTTAAATGAGGCTAATTTTCAGCAGCTAGCCTCTATAGACCTTGCTAATGCCTTTAACTCAGTAGATAGGGCTTCTATAGCTGCTTCTGTAGCTACTTTTGCCCCTACCTTCTATAAGGCAGCAGCTTGGGCCTATAATGACCCTTCTATCTTAGTTATGGAAGATGGGTCAGCTATAGCCTCGGCCAAGGGCGTAAGGCAAGGTGACCCTCTCGGACCTCTTCTTTTTTCCCTTGCCTTTCGACCTACCCTAGAGGCCCTAGCTAGGAAGCTACCTAGGGCAACCTTAGTAGCTTACCTAGATGACCTCTATATACTTAATAAGGCTCCGCAAGGCACCTTAGAGGCAGCTAAGGAGGTCTTAAAAGGCTCCCCTTTTAGCCTTAACCTAGCTAAAAGCAAGGAAAAGGCTATAGAGGACCTTAAGCTAGAAGGCTTAAAAGCCTTAGGTACTTATATCGGCCCTATCCGGCCTAAAAGAACCTTCTTGCAAGAAAAGCTAGCTACCCTACAGGAAGCCCTAGAGGCCCTGCAAGACCTTCCAAAGCAGCACTCTTTGCTTCTTCTTAGAGGCAGTATCCAGCTTCTTCTAAGGCACCTCCAGAGGCAGCTAGACCCAACCGGGCTAGAAGACCTTTGGGAAGAGGCTGATACCCTTATAAGAGAGGCTATTATAGCCCTAGTGGCTAGAAGCCCTAGTGAGAGCCCTAAAGAGCCTAATTCAAGCCTTATAGCCCTTCCAGTCAGAGAGGGAGGCCTAGGAATACCCTTACACAAGGACCTAGCCCACGAGCTATTCCTAGCAGCTAGGGAGGCCTCGCAGCCTACCCTAGGCCTCATCCGGAAGCCCCTAGCCCAGCCTACCCTAGACCAAAGCCAGCCTAACCAAGGCCAGCCTAGACTAGGGAAAACAGCCCAACAGGTGCTAAAGGAAGCTAATAAGGCTAGGCTAGCAGGCTTCTTAGAGGACCTCCCCGCTAGCTATAGGCATGCTAGGCTAGAAAATGCTAGCTATCTCGGCCGTAAGTGGCTCGGAGTCTTACCTACCCAAAAAGCCCTATCTTTTACAGACTCTGAGGTCACTGAAGCCCTCCGAAGCCGGCTTTTCTACCCAATCAAGCCTATCAGCTTACCCTGTAGCTCTTGTGGAGCTATAGCTGCCTTAGGCCATCAGGATACCTGCAAGGGTGCTAATAGAAGGTGGATTGCAAGGCATGACGCTATAACTAGGGCCTTTGTGAGAGCCCTAAGTAGCCAGCCTACCCTAGAGGTCGAAAAAGAACCCCTAGTCCACCCAGAAGGTAGCCTAAGGGCCGACTTTGTAGTTAACCTAGGAAATAGCCGCTATTACTATGATATTCAAATCGTAGCTATTTCAAAGGATTCTGCTAAAGAAGACCCTTATAGCACCTTAAGAGAGGCTGCCGAAGAAAAACGCAGAAAATATAGGTCTCTCGGGGCCTTTTTTCAGCCTCTTATTATCTCAGCAGGCGGCCTTATGGACCTAGAGACAGCTAAGACCTATCAGAAGCTCCAGGACCTTATTGGCCCCCTTGCGGCTAACCAGCTAGATTCCTCTATTAGCCTTGCCCTGATGAGGACTAGGGCGACCTCTGCGGCTTCTATAGCCCGAGATACCCCTAGTAACCTAGCTAGGTCGATCTGGAATACCCCTAGGGCTTCTTAAGGCTTTTCTTTATCCTTTACCTTTTATCTCTTATCTCTTATCTCTTTGCCTTTTTCTTATTAGCTATACCTCTCTCTTTTAGTTATATCTCTATTTCCTAGCTATACCTCTCTCTTTTAGTTATATCTCTATTTCCTAGCTATACCTCTCTCTTTTAGTTATATCTCTTTTTCCTAGCTATATCTCTCTCTTAGCTATACCTCTTTCCTAGTTATATCTCTTATGCTTTTTCTTTTATTATTTCTTAGAAAAATCTCCCCTCTTTTATCTATAAGCTATATCTTAGCTAGAAGAAACCCCTAGGGCAAAATAGCTTAGATAGTTAATAGTTACTCTGTTCTAACCCTAACCCGGACCCGATGCCTCACCCTATCCTTCACCCTATCCCTCACCCTATCCCCCTAGAGGTTCCTTTAGAGGTTCCGTTAGAGGTTCTAGAGGTTAGGGTCAGGCATTGGGTCAGCTATAGATAGAAGCCCTTCGGGCTTCTATAGAGATTCTAAGGTCTTCTATAGAGGTTAGGGTCATGGTTAGGGTCAGGCATTGGGTCAGGGTTAGGGTCAGGCATTGGGTCAGGGTTAGGGTCAGGCATTGGGTCAGGGTTAGGGTCAGGCATTGGGTCAGGGTTAGGGTCAGGCATTAGGTCAGCTATAGCCTCGGCCAAGGGCGTAAGGCAAGGTGACCCTCTTGGACCTCTTCTTTTTTCCCTTGCCTTTCGACCTACCCTAGAGGCCCTAGCTAGGAAGCTACCTAGGGCAACCTTAGTAGCTTACTTAGATGACCTCTATATACTTAATAAGGCTCCGCAAGGCACCCTAGAGGCAGCTAAGGAGGTCTTAAAAGGCTCCCCTTTTAGCCTTAACCTAGCTAAAAGCAAGGAAAAGGCTATAGAGGACCTTAAGCTAGAAGGCTTAAAAGCCTTAGGTACTTATATAGGCCCTATCCGGCCTAGAAGAACCTTCTTGCAAGAAAAGCTAGCTACCCTACAGGAAGCCCTAGAGGCCCTGCAAGACCTTCCTAAGCAGCACTCTTTGCTTCTTCTTAGAGGCAGTATCCAGCTTCTTCTAAGGCACCTCCAGAGGCAGCTAGACCCAACCGGGCTAGAAGACCTTTGGGAAGAAGCTGATACCCTTATAAAAGAGGCTATTATAGCCCTAGTGGCTAGAAGCCCTAGTGAGTGCCCTAAAGAGCCTAATTTAAGCCTTATAGCCCTTCCAGTTAGAGAGGGAGGCCTAGGAATACCCTTACACAAAGACCTAGCCCACGAGCTATTCCTAGCAGCTAGGGAGGCCTCGCAGCCTACCCTAGACCTTATCCGGAAGCCCCTAGCCCCTTCTAGCCCTAGCGGCAGGCCAGGCCCTAGGCTAAGAAAAACAGCATAATAAGTACTAAAAGATATAAATAAGGCTAGGCTAGCAGGCTTCCTAGAGGACCTCCCCGCTAGCTATAGGCACGCTAGGCTAGAAAATACTAGCTATCTCGGCTGTAAGTAGCTCGGAGTCTTACCTACCTAAAAAGCCCTATCTTTTATAGACTCTAAGATTACTAAAGCCCTCTAAAGCTAGCTTTTCTACCTAATTAAGCCTATTAGCCTACCCTATAGCTCCTACGGAGCTATAGCTGCCTTAGGCCATTAAGATACCTATAAGGGTATTAATAAAAGGTGGATTACAAGGTATGACGCTATAACTAGGGCCTTTATGAGAGCCCTAAGTAGCCAGCCTACCCTAGAGGTTAAGAAAGAACCCCTAGTCTACCTAGAAACTAGCCTAAGGGCTAACTTTATAATTACCCTAGGAAATAGCCGCTATTACTATAATATTTAAATCGTTGCTATTTTAAAGGATTCTACTAAGGAAGACCCTTATAATACCTTAAGAGAGGCTGCCAAAGAAAAACATAGAAAATATAAGTCTCTCGGGGCCTTTTTTTAGCCTCTTATTATCTCAGCAGGTAGCCTTATAGACTTAGAGATAGCTAAGACCTATCAGAAGCTCCAGGACTTTATTGGCCCCCTTGCGGCTAACCAGCTAGATTCCTCTATTAGCCTTGCCCTGATGAGGACTAGGGCGACCTCTGCGGCTTCTATAGCCCGAGATACCCCTAGTAACCTAGCTAGGTCGATCTGGAATACTTCTAGGGCTTCTTAAGGCTTTTCTTTACCTTTTACCTCTTATCTCTTATCTCTTATCTCTTTGCCTTTTTCTTACTAGCTATACCTCTCTCTTTTTAGTTATTTCTCTTTTTCCTAGCTATATCTCTCCCCTAGCTATATCCCTCCCCTAGCTATTTCTCTTTCTTAGCTATACCTCTTTCCTAGTTATATCTCTTTCTTAGCTATACCTCTTTCCTAGTTATATCTCTTATGCTTTTTCTTTTATTATTTCTTAGAAAAATCTCCTCTCTTTTATCTATAAGCTATATCTTAGCTAGAAGAAACCCCTAGGGCAAAATAGCTTAGATAGTTAATAGTTACTCTGTTCTAACCCTAACCCTAGGAACCACTATTTATATACAGGTATGATCTCTTGTAGAATATTCCTCCTTCTTCCACACCTTGCCACCGCCTTGGTCGCCTCACACTTGTGATCTCCAACACATTACTGATCTTCTTATCCCGCTCTTCCCTTACATAGCCCAACAGAGATATGGTAAGCAACACATGTCAAATGAGATCAATAGCCTCGCAACGAACCCCTCGCGCACTCAGCGCGTCAGGTAACAACCGCGGGTCACAGTTTATCTCCTCTCCCGTCGTCCCATTCCGGTACTTGGTGCATGCGATGGGGTCATCTCGTGTCCTTGTCCACTCAATAGGCTCCCAATGAGACGGCAATGCCCGACTGTCCAAGCGCGGATCGTCAACACAAGCAGTGTCAGTGTGTGAGTTGTGATACACCGGCCTCAAGAGGCCGTCTTCTCCGTATGAGGCTTTGACCGTCCAACCTGACGGGAGAGGACCAAGGAGAGCTTCTCCATCCATGATACCGTGGACAAAACATGGTCCAAGGACTTGGAAGGCCCCGGTAGACGTCGGCCGGAGAGCCATTGGTACCGCACAGCCAAGGATGATAGCAATGCGATCGCCTTGATTCGGATGTTAGATCCAGAGTCTCAAAGGAACAGAGGGGTGTTTGGAACTGGGACAGCTCACCTGCCTGCACTGCTCGCTTAGCCAGCCCTACATAGCCCCCTTCCAATGTCACCACTGAGTGTGTGCGCAAGTTACCGAGAACCGCTATAGTCTGCCTGCTTAACTTGACAGCTCCTCTGGGCGCGTTCCTCAGCTCGGCAATCTCATCCTTCCACTCTTGCAGCGTTGAATACACTGAAGGTTGTTCAAATCGATCTTGAAGCGCGGCGGCGGAAAGAGATTGAAGGTATGCATCATAGACGCTACCCCCCGCCACGTACCGGGAGGAATCCAACCTCTCAATACCCATTTGGCTTAGATAGTTGATAATGTCTTGTAGGCTCGGATCGGGACCGAGATGGACCTCTTCCGCAGTGAGTACGTCACCAAAGCGGGCGTTTACGACTTGAAGCGTGCTCCCTCTTTGTTGGAAATGAGCTGACGACAGCCCGCTGGCACGGAACGCTCGGTCCGTGGTATTCATCACGTTCAACGGCTCTTTCCAGAAAGGCACCCAAGACGGCCATGCCGCATCTATTCGGCTACATTGCTGGAGAAGAGTCAGGCGCTTGAAGTGCCGGGTATAAGAGAGAAAGACGTCCGAGTACACTGCCTCCACGCTCAGAGAATAATCAGCTCGGATGCGGGCGGTGAAATTGGGCGGCATGACGCTCAACATGCCGTATATCTTGTCTCTCGGATCACTGCATGCTCTGAAGGACGACATTTGCAGTAGCCGGTCCACAGACATGCCGCGGAGGAACTGAGTGCAATCCATAGCATAGCGCAGCTGGCGAACCATGCCCGTGGGAGGGCCACTCTTCTTGAGGAAGAGGCAAATGATGGCCCGACGGAGGACGGGCCACGGCACCTGGTCGCCACCGCATTGCACGACAGACTTTTCACTTGCAAGCTGGGCTTCCTGAATGATCCACAGCCTCGTGAACCATGGTCGACTGATGAGACGATGGATAGACTCCCAGGTGGCAAGGTCGAACGGGATTTCATAGTCGCTCTTGTACCAGTTAGGCTGGGTGCATCCAGGCGAGGGACACATCAAGCCCCCTCGGAGATACTCGACTTGGGCGCCTAGTCTTCCGAGACTTGTCACCGCCAGCGTGCTATCATCTGCTGCTGGACCAAGCCAGATTATCACTCGAGAAGCCAAGGAATAGACGTCGCACATTCTGCCAACCTGCGCGCTTCGCTCGCCAAGGTCAGTTTGATTGATGCAGATGGCGTCAATCCACAGGGTCCTTGGACCATCAGGGAGCCGAAGACATCTCAATGCTGTAGCCAAGTTTTGCCCAATGAAAAGTTCGGATTCTGCACCAGGTACTTCATCTTGGACTATGACGGTTTCGGTTGGATGTGGTGGTCCCCAGACGTAAGACAACGCTTCATAGCTCGGGACTTGTCGTGGGCTACCGTTTCCAGCGTCATCAGCAAATTCCTTGGCGTATAGTGGATCAGGATGCTGCCATGACACCGAGCTCTCGAGTTTGCCTGGGCGGAAGAAGAGTAGGCGGCCCTCTAAGGCTTCGTCCACATCCCAGCCCTCGGGCAAGGTGCGTCGAATTTCGTCAAGTCCTTGCCGGGGAGGGGGCCTCTCTGTGGGCTGAAGTAGCTTGAACTGAGTGTGGGTTATGTTCAGGCGGAGAGGTTTATCAACCAAGTCTGGCAATAGTGTGACAAGGCGTAGCTCATTGGTGGTAGTGTCCAAGGGTCTGTACTGGTAAGGCAGCATTTTAGAAGCTGCCAACAGGTGCTGAGTGGCCAGTCTTGATAGGTTTATACTGCGAATGTCTGAAGAAGGAATGGAAAGGATAGAGCCTTTTGTTACTCTTTGGCCTGTAAGTTGGGTGTACAGATTGAGCTCGGGTAAGGTCCAGGCAGCAGGGGGGAGAACGGGGCAAAATATCACTCATTTCCGGATGATTAAGCTCGCGTTTAGCCAATTACCATGCACGCGACTTTAATGGGTATTAAAGAGGCAATTGATAGGGGTGCCGCACCATTTTGATACGGGTGCCGCAACCTTACGGGTGCCGCACTTTTAGCGCTTCTCATTGGCCCAAATCTCACCTGTTAGTGCACCGGTACGTACCAAATTCTGCCGCACTTTTTGCCAGTTGGCCACCAAAACTTCGACCAGTCGTCGTCAATTCGCGTCGCGTCGCGTCAAGGCGTATCACTATCATTGTTGTCCTTCCCCCGACGAATACAATATACCTCGAAGCTCTACAATGCCTTCACCAGATATTCATACCGCCAATATAAGCCGTCGCAGAAGTCCAATTAGCCCAATCAATCCCTCTAGTAGAACACAATCGCGGCCTTCATCGAGCAACTCAGACCAGTTATCGGACAATTCAACGGCCCGCCTCGAAATATGTCAATATGGCACGGAAGGTGTGGGCGGCGTACCTACAGGATGGCTCGACCATCATTTTTCCTCTCTGCCTAGACTTCACGATTCAATCGGCAAAGATATTCCAGGTGTTCAGTGGCGAAAATCAGATATATACCGGTACCTCCGGAACGATTATCGCACGTCCCTATATAGACCAAGCAAATAGTTCCAACACATTAATACACTAACACCAGACCCGGCCACGACCATACGGGAAAGGCAGCACACCGGTCAATAGAGTCGAGACGAGTGTATAACGCGAGCCGTAACGAGAATGACGATCCTCCCGACTGCCTTAGGATTGACTCGCCAGCTGGTAAAAACAGACTATCACCTCGCCTCGGCACTTGCATTAGCCCACGAAAGGGACCTTGCCTAGGCCGAACAAAGACGTCAAACGCAAGAAGATAGAGCGACTTTTTCATAGCTAGTCACAAGCCCTGTCCAGGTCTCATTGCTTCCGAACGTGTCTGCTCCGGGCGAGGAACAGTGCGAGCAGCACTAGGGATGGGTTTAATACTGTATCATTAAATAAAGGGAGTAGTTTTATTGGGGTTGCCTCACGTGATGACCACACTGCACAATAGACTTCCCGGCTCGGAAGGTTCACTGAGGGGTTTTCTTCCCTCCTATAACTGCCTCACGGGGAGTTAATTACTCGCCTCGGCAGATATCTTATTATCTCTTACGCAATTAAGACTCGACTTTTACCCCCCCCCCTATAATACCTTCCCTCTATATATAGTACTATTATAATATATAGATATTTACCTCCCTATAAGGGAGTATAGATAGGCCCTCTCTAATACTACGGTCTAATATACTTATATATAAGACCGTAGTAATAGGTAACCTATTGCGGCCAAACTATATATACTAATAAGATAATATTATAAGAGTAGAAGATAATATATTCTTAAAAGGTCTAAGTTATATATATCTAAGAGGAATATAGCTCCTTATATAATATCTATATCCCTGCTACTAGTAGATTAGACTATCTTAGTTATATAGTCTTAATACTCCTACTTAAGCTATTATTAGACTTAATATATATGCCTGCCGAGCTTTATTAAACCCCTAAAAATACCTTCGTGGGTAAAAACTATAGGGAAAGAGCATCTTAATCTAGGCACTTAGAAATTCTTAATAGTCTCGTATAATCTTGGGATAGTAGGTCTTCTATCCGCAGAAGATCTCCCTCCTAAGTTTATATTTATACCTTGCTTCTTAATCTAGCGTAATTTTAAACCTATGGGTCTTTTTTTTATCTATAGAAGATCTCCTACTAGGGCCTATCTTTATATAGTCTTATAATCTTAGGACCATAGGTCTTCTTTTATCTATAAAAGATCTCTTATCTAGGTTTATCTTTATACCTTTCTTCTTAGTCTAATATAATCTTAAACCTATAGGTCTTCTTCTATCCATAGAAGATCTCCTACTAGGGCCTATCTTTATATAGTCTTATAATCTTAGGACTATAGGTCTTCTTTTGTCCGCAGAAGATCTCCCTCTAAGCTCATCTTTGCACCTTCTTCCCAGTCTAGCGTAATCTTAAACCCGTGAGTCCTCTTTCTATCCATAGAAGATCTCCTATCTATATCCGTCTCTGTAGGTCTTATAATCTTAGGACTATAGGTCTTCTTCTATCCGCAGAAGATCTCTTACCTATATCTATCTCTATAGGTTCTTCTTAAATCTAATATAATCTTAAGTCTATAAGTCTCCTATCTATAATAAGTCTCCTATTTTAGTCTATCTTTATATATTCTTTACGCTTAGTATAATCTTAAGGTTATAAGTTTTCTTTTATTTATAGAAGATCTCTTATTTTAACTTATCTTTATACCTTCTTTATACTTTAATATAATCTTAGATCTATAGGTCTCCTATTTATCTATAATAGGTCTCTTATCTATGCCTATCTTTATATCTTTTTATAAATATTATTCTTTAAGACCTAATACTTCTTAAAATAATAAAAAGTAATCCTTTAATAAAGCCTTTATTAACCTATTAGTGACTTATTTACTTATTAAAATATACTAAAAATTAATAATTTTATTATTAACCTTTTCCCTATAATAATAATATTAAATATTAATATACTTAGTTCTTATATAAAATTAGGGATTCTTTAATATTATAATTACTCTTTAGTTATCTCTAAAGATTATAATTATTTTTAATTCTAAGACCTCCTTATATTCTTTTAATAATTCCTAGAGAAGGCTTCTTAGCTAAATTATTTCCTTTATTACTCTTATTTACCCTATATATTTTACTTTATATAAAGATAAGGTAATAATCCTTTATCTCTTTAAGCTTTAGCTAATAACGCCTATACTAAGGTTAAATATATATTTAAATATTAACTTTTAAGTCTCTAGGTCTCTTACTTAATCTAAGTTAATATAGCTAAGAAGAAGTTATAGCTTTCCTTAGTATATTAATTCTAAGTTTTATAATCCCTTAAGATATTAAAAGATATACTTAATAGCTATTTAATATTTATTAATTAGGTTTCTTAGGTATTAATTATATAAAGAGATAATAAAAATAATATTAAGTCTTATCCTAAGTATAAGATATACTAAGGATCTAATAGCTTTTATATATTATTACTTAAGTTTATTAATTACCTTATAATTAAGGTCTAGCTTTCTAAACTTACTTATAGTAATTAATATAATATTAAGGGTATATTAATTTATTTTAAAGTCTTAAAGTATTTTCTCTAGGTATATTATCTATAATAAGGAAATTAATTAATTTACCTTATCTCTTCTTAAAGATATACCTAGGTAATATTTATATAGGCCTAGGTCTATTATCTTAAACTTATTATATAGAGCTTACTTAATTATTATAATCTTATCCTTAGAAGGTCTAATAATAAATAGATTATCTATATATATTATAATAAGTATATAACCTTTTATAAAGACCCTTATATCTAAAAGTAAAAGCTTAAACCTAAGTATCTTAAGGAAAGTTAAGAGGGTCTTATATTATACTCTTAGAGCTTATTTTAATCTATATAATACTCTTAAGAGCTTATAGACTCTCTTACTTCTATTATTAAATCCTTCGGGCTATTTTATATATATCTCCTTAGTTACAAGGCTATAAAGAAAGGCTATTTTAATATCTATTTATTTTAATTCTAAGTTAAATACCGCTATAATAATAAAGATTATCTTATAGCTTATTAGCTTAATAATAAAGGTAAAAGTCTTATTAAAGTTAATTCCTTTTTTTATTTAAATCCCCTTATAATAAAGTAGGCTTTATATTATAAAACCTCCCTATTTTCCCTTTATTTAAGCTTAAATACCTATTTACCTCGAAGGGCTTTATATCCTAATAAAAATATAACTAAGGTCTAGATATTATTTTTAATTAAAGATCTATATTCTTCCTTTAGTCTTCCTTATTAAAGTCTTTTATAAAGACCCTAAATAGCTTCCTTAAAGGTTCTTAGTTCTAATTAATTAATATCGCGAGTAATTAAATATAATTATCTTATAATTATTACGAGGAAAATAAAGTTTATATTAGCTAATATATATCTCGATAGTAATTATCCTTTAATTAATCTTTTAGGTAATTAAGACTCTATATATTATTCTATTACTTCTAGTAATACTTTATACTTATCTATAATAATATAAATACTCGATCTAATTAACTCTTAGTCTAGATCTTATTTTAAATCTCCTACTAAGGACTTATCCGAGGTTATCTCTCTATAGCTAATCTTCTTAGTTTTATTTACCTCTCTTAATGTGATTAGGAAGGGTAATAGTTCTAAAATAAGAGGATTTTCTATATCGGTATTCTATTCTTAGTCTACTTATCGCTATTACAATAATCTCTAATTACTTATCTAATATATAAGATTATTAAGTATTAGTTTAATACTTTTAATATTTTTAGAGAAGATAATATTATTAGATATAAAGACTTAGCCCCTTTTATCAAGGAGAATATAATTTATATTACCCTAATAGCTAAGAAGCTAATAAGGAATACTCTTAGATTATATCTTTTTTTATTTAGAGGATAGAAATAGAGCCTATCCTTATAAGCTAAGTACTTATAAATAACTAAGGTTAAGAATATCTCTATATTAGGCTTAATATAGAGTAATAGAAATATTTATTATAGGGTAGAGATTTTAGATATAATTTATTACCTTAAGGAAGTATAACTATTATTTTAAAATAAGTCTAGATTTAATTAATATAGGTATAAATTTATCTAGGATAATTTAATTAAGAACCTCTATTAATCTATTTTATTTATATTACTTTATTACTATATAAGAG